ATCTATTAGTCGAGGAATCCGAAAAAATATTTGATGCTTTAGACTGTTGGTGGAAGTACAATGTGTAACCGTAAATTTTTACTACCTGTATATTGTAAACCACCCCAGGGGTAAATAAAAAAACAAGGGGTAAAATACATAAACAAATAAATGGGTGGTGCCCTTCCAAACGGCCTGGAAAGGAGGCCTGCCACTGGCTGTGATAACCGACCGAAAAATCATAAATCGCCTTTACTGATGCTGAACAGAAGTATTAAGCAAGTCTGCCCATCGTAGGGCTATGATCCAATCTACCTAAAACTGTTTACCAGCTGTTGCATTGGAAAGATCTATAAGTACAATGGTTCACTTACGAGTACTTACAAAGGCTGCTAATGAGTGCGAACTTATGCATGTGTGCGTTTATGTAGCAAAAGTCAGCTATAAGAAATGCTTGAAACACTTCGTGGTCTCCGTTAAAAGGATGCAACCTTTTATCGAAGGTCACGAAGCATTTCATGAATGCAAAGAAAATAAATAATAGTTTAAAAAGAACTAAAAAAAACGCGCTTTTCTCGATAACCGAACTAAAAAGTAGAAAATAATTTTGAATAAGATTAAAATAAGAAAATAGTGATTAAAATAAAAAAAAAATATTGTGAAAAAGCGTTGGGTGCTTTTTCAGATATTTTTATGGTGACGCTAATTTTACAAATACCCACAAAAATATTAATTTACAACAAATGACATAAAGTTCCCCACGCTTTTTTACAATAAAATCAATTATTTATGTTAATCACTATTTTCTTATTTTAAGCTTATTCAAAATCATTTTCCACTTTTTAGTGCGGTTTTCTACAAAAGCTTGTTTATTTTTTTTGGAGCGAAGTTCTTTTGCGCGGCTTACAGTAGAAATCGTAATTGATATATGCATTACTCGCAAATCCTGAGGATCCTGGCAAGGATAATGGGACAAAATATTTAAATTATTGCATTGTTATCAGCCCTTGATAAGTGTACGAAGTTTCAAATCTATCCGACGTTTTGAAGAGGATGAAAATTACATTCAAAAATTTCGTTACATAGATACATCCAAGCTAATAAAGGCGTGTTAAAAAGCAGAAATTATAAGTCCACTGCTAGGTAGTCTATAATGTGTAGTGAAGTAAACAAAATCGTCTACCCCCATATCATGGGCAGGGTGGGTGTTGTAAGAGGTGACAGAGGGAAATTAAACATGAGGTGGGCAGCAGCATCTTCCTGATATCAACTCAAAGTAGCGGCTGTTAACGAGACTGCGAAGGAAAGGTGACTATGTCAAATATCACCCTATGAGGAAAACTATGGGTATGACTATGTTCAGCAATGGACTTTTGCTATAATGATGATGATAACTGTACACAGTTATCTGTCAATATTGGAAGAATTAGTCGCGTGTTGCTGTGTATGTGTTCCTTACCATTGATGATAATGATAGTCTGAGAGCTAGCGACGGATTTTGGGAAGGTCCTTTTGGCAAGTTGAAATTGAGAAAAAATATAATTAATTTCGTGAATTGCTGAATCCAGTCCCGCGAGTCTGGCAGAGCGTTTGCGGTTATTTCGTTACTGCGCAGCATATAACATTTACAAAAAAAATCCCAATAAATGTTATTTGGCAACTTGATTTCTCTTTTACCTTTTAATTTAGTTTTTACATATTACATAAACACTCGCGCCTGTCACCCAGAGGGGTAGGCAGAGACTATGGACTTCCATTTGGCACAATCCTGACACACCTCTCTCGCTTCCTCCACATCCATACACGCTCTACATCCACCTACACATACACGCTCGTCGGTTAATGGTACTCTTGATTTGGCCCATTTTCAATATATAGCCAATTTGGTCGATAAACTTTCGCCTAGGGCAACCCTTCCCGACTCTGCCGTTCACCTCTGCAACATAAATTTGCTTTGTCACTCTTTCCTCATTCATTTTTTCTACATGACCAAATCACCGAAGCATTCCTTTCTTAATCCTGGTCACAACATCATCTTGCAAACCACACTCTTCTCTTATTAAACAATTTTTTTTATAGGATTAGGGTGACAAACGAGCACACAGTCCACCTGATGGTAAGTGGTTGCTGCGGCCCATAGACATCTACATCAATCCTCTATTACAAATCAAAATGTAGATGCGTTGTCACCCGTGAGGACTAAGATGGAATGCCTCATTTCCAGTAAAAAGGGCCTCCGGCCACCTGCACTCACCAAGCGAAACGCAGAGATAAACTTCTACTTCACGCTGGTTTTCTGTGAGGTCGTGGTACCACCCCGGTTCGAGCCGGCCCATCCGCGCGACAGCAAAAGCTGCCGCGTGGCTCTACCACTGTTGATGAAGTTCTCACTCTGTCATTCATATTCATCCCTAACATACTCCTTAATGACCGCATTTCTACAGTATTTATTCTACTCTCGTGCTTCTACTTTTTATATAATTCCAAATAATAAGTTTTTGTCGGTTACAAAGTATTACCAGACTTCTCCAGAAATATTTTTTTACAATTCCCAAAAAATATACTTTTGGAAATCTCAAATTTTGATCATGTATTTATTAATTTTTAATAATACCTGCAAATCGCCAGACAAAATTTAGCGGTTTTAAACTATTCCCAGACGTGAATAAAGTTTACAAATGAATACGACAAAAAAGACTCTGACTATGACACCACCTCCTTACCTTTTACGTTGCTTATTGTCATAGTTTTTTGATCAGTTTACAAACTTGTATAAATTTACTATGATATTACAAGTTACAGGATATATTTACTGTAAATTTAACGCTGCAAATCTTATATACATATAAACTTGGCCAGAATATTCTTTTTGGCCTGTTAAAAATTATCAAGAACGGATTTTATGAAATTCCACCCACAAATAGCAGTGCGCCCCCTGCGTTAAAAAATAAATTAAAAAAAAACTTTTAATGTTGCTTTCCAACCGTCTGTACGCTTAGATCTTTTAAACTACGTAACAGATTTTGTTAGGATTTTCATCAATAAATAGAATGATTCAAGGGCAAGGTATAATTAACCCGGCGTCATTGTGGTAGAAAATTGTAACACGGACGTTGAGGTGGGTCAATATGACCCGTATATGTAAAATGTGATATTTCCATGTTTATTCAAATTTTCGGTAATCTATATTATTATATGATCTATTTGTACCCTGAACTTAAAAATAAATGAATACATTTTATAGTCATCAAATGTTTATTCTAGGTTTTTAAGCTTTTTCATAAACTCACAAAAACGTTAACAAAATTGAGATCCTTTACAGTTTCATCACCTAACTAACAAATTACCAGTCTTTTTTGTTATAAATGACACTTAGAATATATCTTGCTAATAATTCTTTGCAAAAAAATATAAAAAAGTTAATTTGAATCGTCATTGTTTACACAATCACTGCAGAAATATACGATGTGCTGGGGACAAATATATTTGTCGCAACCTTGACAAGTGTGCGTTGTTTTACGGTCTTTTTGTGCAAGGCACACTTGGCATCTTCTACGAGCATTCGGTATCTTTGCAGGAGGCTCTTCTGATGATTCACCAACAAATTGTTGTATTCTTTTAAGCACTTCTCGTGGCAAACGATCTAAATTCTCGCGCTTTTTCAAGTGATCGCTCATATTATAACAACGTTAATCCCAGACATATTCAATATAGCATAAAATATGTGTAAGTGGCCATCTCTTGGAACTATGGCTCACGTTATATGTTGCGCAGAGTTCATCTGCGACATCCACTCCACATTTGATTGTATTGTAATAGGTGTTAGTTTCGGGTTTCCGTTGTTCTCCAGTTGAATCATCAATTTTATTATCATGGTGCAAACTTGACGTCAATAAAACTTATTCTTCTTTAGAACATGAGAAACAAGAGTGACATCTTCTTGTAATACAAACCGAGATGAAAATACTTGAGCGTTACGAGTTCTAATGAATTCAGGAGGAATTCGTCTTGTATTCTAACGCAAGGTACCAACTAATGTTAACCGGTGTTCTTTGAGCAGATGCTGGACAAGTTCATAACTGGTAAACCAGTTATGAAACGTAACGTTGCTGTTTGCTTTTGAAATAAGTGCCACAATGCGATCCATAATATCAAAAGGTTTATTACTGGCAGCAAATGGACCAGGGGGTTGTTTTCCGGGATATATAGATAGATTGAAAATAAAGTAATTTTTTGCATCCACCAAAGCTATTATTTTTATACCATACTTTGCTAGTTTTGATGGCATATATTGCCTAAATCTGCAACTACCTCTAAAAGCGATTAGCATTTCATCAATAGTTAGACAGTCACCGGGGATGTAAGCAGTTTTGTAATTATCAATTATCAATATATATATATATATATATATAATTTTTATGTTCGTGTGTATGTAACTGAACTCTACCTAAATGGCTGGACCGATTTTGATGAAGTTTTGTGTGTTTGATTAAGTTAATTCGACGGTTTAGATTCACTATAGACCCGGTAGGTGGAACTTTGTTGTCGAGATCCAAAAATCACCCGTGTGAAGCAGGGGCGCAAAGGTAGTTTATTATATACGTAATGGTGGCATATGAGTACACAACTCACCTGATAGTAAGTAAATGTTGTGACTCATAGATATTACACATAAGTTTATTCTCGATTAAGAATCAAATTACAGATGCGTTGTCTTACCTGGGGACTAATTAATAAACTAATCGTACAAAACACACCATATGAAATATCAACGTAATGGTGATATTCCATATGCTGTGATGATTACAGAATACCAGCATGAAATACTAGCATATCAGCATAATTCTGGTATTTCCCGCCTATATTTTGTGCAAGCGGCTCGCTTCCCCGGTCGAGCTGAACCATTCCTGCTGTACCAAGTACAAAATGATAAAGTTATATTTATTTTTATTTTAATATTTGCAGACTAAACAATCCTTCAATACTTGACGTTATGTAAATCGAACAAGTACCCACGCAAAATGGAAAGTAATGAAACCAATAGAAAAGTTGAGAATTCCAAGAACACAACAAATTCACTCGATACTAATGATGATATAAACAAAATAAATTCATTGAAATCAAAATGTATACGCAACGAAATTGTACCATATTACACAAAAGATGAATCTTCAGCGATTGAAAGAGTGAAATTTGAAGGCTTAGAGGATACGGACAGCATATTCTCTAACGATATATTTGAAAAAAAACTACCCCCCATACCCGACGGTGGTTGGGGATGGGTCGTTGTCGTGGCCGCGTTTCTTGTGTCTGCTTGCGCCGATGGCTTGGCGTTTTCCTTTGGTCTTCTACACGAAGAATTTACTGCATATTTTGAAACGACACAGTCGAAGACATCTTTAATAGGAAGCTTATTTATTGCGACACCATTATTAGCAGGACCGATTATGAGTGCGTTAGTTGATAGATATGGTTGCAGAACTATGACCATGGTTGCTGGTCTTTTATCAACCATTGGATTTTTATTGGCTTCTATTAGCAATTCTGTAGAAATGTTATGCCTGACGTTTGGATTCTTAAGTGGATTGGCAATGGGTATATTATACGTAACAACTGTTGTGTCCGTTGCATTTTGGTTCGATAAGAAAAGAAATTTAGCTGTGTCTCTAGCATCTTGTGGAATTGGTTTCGGAACTTTAGTTTACTCTCCACTCACACATTACTTGCTAGAAGTTTACGATTGGAGGAACACTGTAGTTCTGCTAGCTGGAACTTTGCTTAATATGTGCGTATGTGGTGCATTGATGAGAGATCCAGAATGGCTGACAATAAAGCAAGAAAGAGAAAGAAGGCTACTGAAATCTAGATTTAGACGGTCATCCAGTGTTGGTTCTATGTCGACTAGATCTATTGAAGGAGAATCAATACTTTTAAGCGCAGATGAGTTTAAAGCTTTGTTAAAGAGTGGCAAAAGTCCTGATTATATACTCGCGACACTTACAACTAGTATCGCAGAGCAAAAGCAACTTGAGGCGACTACACAGATGAACGCTGATCAGGCGTACAAGAGAATACATTCTGATATTCATTTACCAACTTTTATAACGCAAAATGAGAAAGTATGTAATATTAACGTTTCAATTTTTGTTTTTATTTTATATTCCTTTTAATAAAATAATTTACATTTTGCAAATTTTATAGGTTCCAGTTGAAGTTATAGAGAAATTAATGAGCAATAAGAGATTGTATACCGTAATACTGCAAAATTTTCCTGATTTTATAACAAGAAGGCGTTCAGAAGTCAACATTAACGTCGAAGAATCAGCAGTAAATATTAAAAATGAACCCGCAAAACTACCAATAACAGTGACGGTTAAAATTCCTAAAACCACAGGATCAGAAATGTCAAATAAATCTGATAGGAAAACTAAGGAACAGATTATTAGTCCAGATAATACCAATAAAGATACAAAATCAGTTACGAAAGTAGATCCGAATTTAGATAAAAAAATTAAAAATTCTAAAATGTCATATCAGCAGACTAATTGGCTCTCAAGACAAATCTCTACTGATCATCAGTATCTTAGAGATATGCCTTTGTACAGAAATACTATTATGCATAGAGGAGCCATGATGAACATACCTAGGTATAAATTAAGGGCATCCTCTTTGCCGGATATCTACAGAAATTCCATGTGGTCTCTTGGTTCGGAATCCGATGTTGAAATGGTATGTATAATTTTTGTTAGTTAAAGTTACCTACTAATGAAATTGGATCTCAGTCTTGTGAGGTTAGGGATTAGCTGTGTACAATAAAACTACTATTATGTATGTATATATTGAGTTTGTAAGTTATTACAGCAAAATATATTCTTCTGCAGCAAGGCTTCAATGGCTATCCGAGTACGGAACCAGACTAAAAAACCTATCCAATTGCAGAGAGGTAGTAAGACGGGGTGATTTTTATCCTCGAAACTCTTCTATCTTTCGTAAGAAACTACTACCAATGCTATTACTGTTATTTATATCCCCTTTAGCAGATAATTACAGTAGTCAAATGGCGGATTCAAACCTAAGGACCTTTTAAGTTCGCGATTCGAACCCTGTCATTAAGTTACTATGTAATACATATATTTTTTTTTAAAAAACGTTACCCCCACACTAGGATTTTCTCTTGTATTGTGGCAGCTTACAAACATAAATTGCACAAGGACAAACAACCAGACCCGGAACAATTATTTGTAGGACATATAAATACTTGTTCCGTGCGGGATTCGAACACGCGGCCCCCAGCGCAGCAACTCATTGCCCGTAAAAATCTGCTGTCGTTCGTGTGCTCCTTCCGTTTTAATGAAGATTTGCGTTTGCAGTATCAGAAGCATCGCTCATTTGACGCTAATCCCCTTCACCAGCTGTTATCCAAATATGTCGTACAGCCAACTATAGAAAGCCATTATTATATTTAAGATCTCTTTTACTTTTATATTTCAGTGTCAATTATTATTATTCTCTATTTAAATGACATCTGACTAATGTCCTAGTTAATGTTTGTATTTCTTTAGCTGTACTGTGGTTCATATTTGAATTCTAAATACAAATTAGTAGATACGCTGAATATATCTAATACGAGAAAGTAAATGAAAACTGCAAGAATATTTTTCTATAAACAAATCACAAAAGAATCGATAAATATTATTATCGTCGTGTGTCTGTAATAGGCAACTATGGGCAATTTCGGAAAGACCTCACAGTTCTGATAGTTTGTAGTATACTACTTTGTTTACGTCAGACGTAAAATGATGGCGACGAATAGCAGTATCAAAGGTGCGAGGCGTCAGGTACAGCAATCGTCAACCCTCCTGCCAATGCCATTCTAATTATAGCAACATTTTAAAAGGCGTTCTACTTCATCCAGCTGGGGATAAATACGTAAATTGTATCACTTAATATTTCCCACAGAAATGGTATCACCGGTTATGGCAGACGGCAAAATCAACATTTGACTTCAGGATGTTCACCGAATTCCACTTCTTAATGTTCAATCTCTCTTCCCTCATTCTGTCCGTGTGGTTCATCGTTCCATACTTCTTTCTCAAATCATACATGACCGCTCAGAACGTTGAGGGTGGAGCAATGATGATCAGTATCATTGGTGTTGCCAGCAGCATTGGAATTGTAAGTATAGAAGCTTTAAATTACATGCAAATATAGTCTATTTTAATCATTATTCCTGATAAGGTTTGAGGACAAGGAAGACTCCGCTAATGTGACGAAATTTTTGTTAGGAGACTTCACATGTCCTTGAAAAATTTGCATCCTCTTGTTGTGTTTTAGTAGATTTTAGTATGTTTAATATAGTGGAGATGACAAAAGTGATGTAATCTACCAAAAAAAAAAGTTATGCGCGTGTTGTTTAATCTCTTAACAACTAAGTATTACTAAAAAATACAACATAATAACAAAATGCATTAATTAAAAATACATTAATTTAAATACCCGCTGCTACATACTGAAACACTAGATACATAGACATGCGTGTAGACAGTGCCTGTATATGAGACAGTAAGGCTTCTCGCTAACAAGACAACAGTCATCATGGCGGCGGTGCTCTTCCTGACTATGCTCATCAGCGATGCGACTCAGTGGTCATCAATTCAGCGGCCGAGTCCGGCGTTGCTGCATTCTACAATAAGATGGTTTATGTAGAGAACCAAGTACTTCAAATTCACGATACCATCCTCACCATCTGGATGCTTGGCGATCAACGACTGTGCGTTTTACTAGGAGTTTTCTTCCTCGTACAACTTCTCTGTGGAATTGTTTACCACCGGCAATTTTTCCGGAACGATACGACTTAGAGACCTTCAAAAAAAAAGCTTACATCTTTCTAAAAGGCCGGCAACGCATCTGCGATTCCCCTGGTGTTGCGGTTGTTCATGGGCGACGGTAGTCACTTACCATCAGGTGAGCCACATGCTCGTTTGCCCCCTCTTCTATAAAAAAAAAAACTTGACACACAAGTCCGCTAACATACACTAGACCAACGAGTATAATCAAGCACCCCATTACTGTCTCAGATACGCGTAGTTGCAGCAGCGTGACAAAATACGCTATAATTTTGCTACTTACCTTACTTTACGATGGCAACATTTTTCTAAACTGAAATAAATATTAAAATGCAAAAACTCGAAGTCATAATTATTTGATAAAACTATTTTATTTGCATTTAATTGCTCTTAATTGAATCGCCGTTGACGGATTAGATTGTGTGAATTTTCCAAGTTTATATTTTTTGGTTGTCAACATTCCATGCACTCAATCCAAACGGTTTGCTTCGTCGTTCATAATGCAAACAATACAAACAGAAATACAAAGAACAAAACAAACAGCAATGGAGTGGAATAATTTGCCAGCACCTGTCTTTCCATCCTATTAAAAAGTAAGTTGACAAAAGTGAATAGGCTGTTGATAAAGTAGGAGGCATTTACCATCTATGGCTACCACTTTCACCACTTTCCAAGAGGTGGGATATTAGTCAAGCATCGGCTGAAAATACTTAACAAGTGATTTTTATATTTTATATTAAAAAAGTGTAACATAAGTACCACGTTTTTTAAAACATATTCCTACATTGTCATGCGATTCTAAGCTAAATTTCAAGTCTCGAAGCTCATCGGGAAGTGCTCGAAATTTGAGTTACAAGATTCTACATGAAACGACACGCATACAGACAAACAACAAAGTGATTTAATAAAAATGTGGTAAAAAGGATATATCACATGGATGAGATAGTTTTACCTACAGGTTTTAGCAATTAACTAAAGCATATCTACATTCGCTTCTATTTCAATTGCAGGTAGCTTTAGGCTGGGCAGGCGACCAGCCCTGGATAAACGTGACCAAAACATATACAGTTTGTTTGATTATATGCGGCCTCTCTGTCGCCACGTATCCCCTCTTCATCACGAATTACTGGGTCTTGACCATCATCTCTGCGATCTTCGGCCTTTCTTTTGCAAGCTCATACTCCTATACACCAGCGATCCTAATGGAACTGATGCCCATTGACCATTTCACCGTGGCATATGGACTGATACTGTTGAGTCAGGGGATTGGACATTTAATTGGACCTCCTATTGGTGGTGAGATATCATTTTTATTTTTTTCTTTGGTAATGGATTGGAATGGATTGTACTTTTGCCAGTATTAAATATCAAAAAATTATCCTTTATTATACATTGCACAGAGTAATAGATTTGTAGCAAGCTACTATACTTCTTCACAATATGTCAATGCGTCACATTGCGATTTTTTTTGTGAACTGTGTATTGATGACAGTTTAAGTTCATGGCAATAGTATCTCAAGGTTTCTAAGCATACACATTATTTTGAGGTTCACATCACCATCGGAACGCTTGTTTCACCGTTTCCACTAACAGTTCACTTGCGTAGACATTTAATGCAGAAAATCGTACCACTTTTACACATCAACATTCACTTCAAACTATTATCTAAACAATAATACAGGAGCAGCAATCCATCGGCGCTGAAGTTCCCTCCAAAACTCGAAATCATTTTAATAACAATAAGAATTCTTTATTTTATACGTGGTAGAGCCATGCTGCAGCTATATTATTAGTATAGTTGTAGGACGAATGGGTCGTCTCGACCGCCGAAGGACAACGCTCTCACAGAATACCAGCGTAAAATAGCAGCTTAACGCTGCTGTGTTTCGTATGGTGAGTGTAGAGAACCGGAGACCCTTTTTACTGGAAACGAGGCATTCTATCTTAGTCCACACGGGTGACAACGCATCTGCATTTTGATTCGAAGATAGATGTAGATGTCTATGGGTGACAACTTCCACTTACCATCAGGTGGACTGTATGCTCGTTTGTCACCCTTATCCTATAAAAATATCTTTTTTTTAAATCCAATTCTGGATAGCGATGCTTTTAAAATATCAACAAATGGCCTGCACAGCTTGGCAGATTGCTCCACACTCACAAAGCTGGTTACTTACTGTAGAGCTGATACCAACTCCACGCAGTAGTAACACTACTCACCATTACTATTTCTTAAGATTCAGGTTTAGCAATTGCAAATTGTTCGTTTGCGTCACAATAATTCAAAAACTGAGTCTTTAAAGTTCTAAACATTAAGAACTATTTCCCACGTGGTGACAACGTGAACTATTCATAACTCCAAAAAATTCTAGATCTTTCTCCGTTTCTGCCTAAAGCTCGCTTTTGACTATGGGATATAATACATATTATAACCCGGGATATAAATTATATCTCGCGATTGGTTTTCAGACTGTGAGATATATCTTTTAGCCAGTGTGCGTTCGTCATTGGATTACCCCTCCTACCCCGCACACCGTTCTGCGGCGGCGCAGAACGGTGTGCGGGGTACAGGGGGCGAAATGTAATATGAAAATATCGCTCGGTCGATCGAAAAAATATTTATAGTATGAGATCTAATATATATTACATCTCGAGATATAAATTAATATCGCTCACCGTACTTTTAATGGAACCGTTTACATTGAGATATAATATATATTACAATATATCCCATAGTGAAAAGCGGGCTGAAGAGTCCGGCTGGATAGGTGCCACACTTACCTATTTCTGCCGCCAAATAGCAGTGATTGCATAGTGTGTTCCGGTCTAAAGGGAGTCAGTATAACTACAGACTTTAAGGCATTCCATGTTAGCACTCAGAGGTGACAACGCATCATTAGCCTGCTTTTTTAAAATTGACTGCAAGTGTTCAGTAAATGGAGTAGCCACTTACCATTAGATAGAACGTAAGTTCGTTGTTATGTACGTAGTTGTCACGGAATGAAAGTTTTTTTTTTTACCAATTTTTATCTTCTAAATCGGCATCGTTTTCTCTTTATTTGCAGGTATGCTGTATGATTTAACCGGCACTTGGGACCTGACGTTTTACGCAGCTGGTTTGTGGCTCATTATTTCGGGTCTATGTGTTGGTGTTATTCCGTACACGAAAGACATGCGTATGTGTGGAACTGCTCCGCTCTTGAAGGAGATGGAAGAGCAAAAGAAATCGCCCACGGACGTTTGAATTGGTTGATTGGATTATTTATAATAAATTATTATTAATAATTTTATCGAAAATTTATTTACTGATTGTAATGATTAATTCAGATAAAGGCAGGTATTTACGATGATGATGATATGTCCAGGTGTGAACGCGAAACAACTGATGGACCTACGTATCTGGATGGTATTTATGACTTATTTCAGAGATGCGGCAAATATTAGAACATATCCTGACCTAGATCAGACAACCAGACATAAACAAATATTTCGAAGATATGTGAGGGCTGCCAACGCATGGGGACAGCGCGGCGAACACTTCTTTGCCCGTAAACCTCTCGGAAAGCCTGTGCCAACAGTGGAACGCATATGGCCTGTAACTTATATTTACTTAACAAGGCCCGAAATCTAATAGTTTTTGATTTTGCCTAAATCTTGGCTCTAATCGGTTTTAGATTCCAGGACATTGCTGGCAGCAAAAATATCGAAGTGTATGTTTTACCTGCTCTAAGGCGAATTCATACATACTGAAAAAAACTAAGCATATACGAATTATGAAGAAAAAAAAAATATGGAAATAACTTCGTATATAAATATGACTTTTAACTATTTAAATCGCGATTGACAGAAATATTTTTGAGCGAAAGAAGATATGAGATTGGTTATTTTATTCTATGAGTGGGATTTACTGTCAATTTTACAAGGTTACGCTGATACTAGTTTGTGGTTACGCTACCCGCTCTTTGAATTCGGCATAATATTATTTTTATAACTGTTACGTCTTTGTTACATTTAGTTTACACCCATTTTGTACAAATTCTATTCGATTTCATAGTCATTAATTATATTAAGTTATTATTCCAGAACTTTATATAACGTTGTAAATAATTCAGCAGAAGGGTGTAAATAATTGAAATATAACATACTTACTCACTATATAATATATCAATAATGGAAATAGTTTGTTTTCTGTGTTTTTACTTCAACTAATACAGATATATAAACAGCTGTATATTCACGCCACGAAATAATGGTCAGGGTCATGCATTCAGATAATGATAACCGCTTCGTTAGACAGCAAAATTACAGTGAAAATGTTTTGTAGATTAGATGCCATTAGTGTACGCTCAATAATAATCATTTATCCAAAATTTATATTATAGATGCACAGAATAAACCGGCTTATTATCCCGATATGTTAGCTAGCTTTGAAAGTGATAATGCTCATGCAATTCTCGTTTCGGAGTCTTGGTTAAAGCAATGTCTTCCATCCATATCCTATTCCATTCCAGGATTCCAGTGAATACGCAACGACCGAACTGCGCTGGGTGGTTGTGGTGTTGCCATTTATCTGCATGTTCATATTCCTTCTATTGTTCGTTTATCATCTCAATTTCCAGCTGAGAACGAAGCGAAATACTTATTTATTGAACTTCAATATTGAAGTACTTTTTTCGCATACCAAATTACTTCTCGGAGTTTTTTATAGTCGTTCTTCCACAGTGGACTCTTTTACTACATTGGAAGTATAATTCCGCCTCCAGGTCCTTCAAAAGTGCTATTGCCAAGGCAAAGTCGGAGCACATCGACCGAATTGGCGAGAAACTAGTTCGCCTCCCTACGGGTAATACGGGTAAATATTTTACTGATATTCCGATCTTGACCACTAAGTCACTGAATTCTTCTCCTGCCGTCGCCGAATCATTACTTAAACAAAAGGTAAATGTGTGTACAAAGAATTTTACATTTCATAAAGTGTCATCAAAAGATATTGTAAAATATTTTAAAACTATTGATGTTAAGGAAACTGCGGATCTGTGGGGGATTTCCGTTAAAGTTATTGCATCTATAATAGATACAATCGCGCCTCATTTAGCTATTATTTTTAATACTAGTATCGAATCTGGTGTGTTTCCTGATTTAATGAAGCATAGTAAAGTAATACCTTTATTTAAATCTGGTACGTAAACACGTGCATTCTGGTCTCTCGCCAAGGCTGTCCAAGGGAACTTCTGTCAACCGTCTCAGCCATCTCTGCACAGGGTGGACGACTCACTGGCCCATGACGGAAAGGAGCAAGCCGATCTGCTAGGCTCTCTTTTTGCTTCCAACTCGACTCTAGATGACGGGGGGAACACACCGCCAACCATCCCGCGATGTGAGTGTTCCATACCGGATGTGCGGCTTACACAGCGCTCGGTTCGCAAATCACCCTTCTCCCTTGACGTCAGCAAGTCGAGTGGGCCTGATGGAGTCCCTCCCAAGAAGACGTGTACTCCGGAGTTGGGACCGGTTTTAACTCGTCTTTTCCGGTACTCCTACTCCCTACGCGTAGTCCCGAACTCATGGAAGACAGCTTTGGTACACCCGATCCCTAGAAAAGGCGACCGCTCAGATCCGTCCAACTACAAGCCTATCGCTATCACCTCCTTGTTCTCCAAAGTAATGGAAACCATTATTAACTGCCAGCTCATGCGATACCTTGAGGATCACCAGCTGATTAGTGACTGCCAATACGTTTTCCGTCGAGGTCGCTTAGCTGGTGATCTTCTAGGTTACCTAACTCATAGATGGGTGGAGGCAGTGCAGTCCAAGGGGAGGCGTTGGCCGTTAGTTTGGACATTGCGAAGGCCTTCGATCGGATTTGGCACAAAGCTCTTCTTTCGAACCTGCCTTCCTATGGGCTTCCTGAGAAATTATGCAATTGGATCACCAGCTTTCTTGCAGATCGGAGCATCAAAGTCATGCATGCTCTGATTACAAGACCATTAACGCTGGTGTTCCACAAGGCTGTGTGCTATCACCAACGCTGTTTCTTCTGCATATCAATGATATGATGCAAACTGGTAACATTCATTGCTATGCGGATGACAGCACTGGTGATGCACTCTCTATAAACCGGCCGTGCCAGTATTTTTCGGGAAAACGTCGCCGAGTACCGGGACAAACTTGTGTCTGAAGTCGAGTCTTTCCTGAACAAAGCCTCGGATTGGGGGCGACTAAATCTAGTCCAGTTTAATCGTCAGAACACACAAGTTTACGCATTTACCGCTAAAAAGAACCCTTTTGTCGTATCTCTTCAGTTTCAAGGCGTATCGGAATCCTCGGCGTCAACGTCGAGTAACGTGCAGTTTCGTGGTCACTTGGAAGAGAGGGCCAAATTGGCCTCTAAAAAGCTTGGCGTGCTCAGCAGAGCGGGACAGTATTTCATGCCGGCACACTGCTTGTAGCTTTATTAGGCGCAGGTTCGGCCTCACTTGGAATGTTAAAAACTGTTTAACGATAGGACAGCTTAATTTGGGACGTGGCGAGATGGCCACCAAGGAGCTCCCAACACTTTTGGGGGACCTGGGATTGTCCTAGTCCAGGAACAATGGCCGCAGGTGCAGGGAGTTATACAGTTCGGCGAGGGACCGCAGGCCGGTATCAAGGTCTGCAACATTAATATAGGTGTCGCGGGACTGCCACACCTAAGTAACCCCTATTGCGTAGTGTGCCATGCGGAGAAGTACGGTCTCTATGTCGTCTTAGCATATTTTAAATATAGCCACAACAGTGGCCATCACTTGCAACATCTAGAGACCGTACTTGACCAGTTGAAAGGCAAACGCGTTATAATTGGAGTGGATTGCAACGCGCATTCGCCACTCTGGTTCAGTGAGACTGAACAACTCATAGGTAGTGACCATGAAGCAGCTTACCGTCTTGTAAGCTGCTTCATGTCGGGGATTGGTGGTGACTAACGTGGAAGGTCAACCGAGCACCTTTTCGGGTGCAATGGGTGAGTCAAACATGGACCTCACTCTTTCATCTAGAGGAGTCCTGATTACAGAGTGGCGAGTCCTGGATTGCATCAGCTCGAGTGACCATCGACCCATAGTTTACAAAGTTGGAGGAGTAACACATGCGTGGCTCCCGGGGCCGGTGGAAGTGCCTGCCAGTTTCCGGGACTGGGGGTGAATTGGAGCTTCTTTCGCGGAACTATTCATGTACGAATGGGTGCATTGAAAGTTAGACAGCCGGCTGACCGTCTTTGTGCGCAGTTCACGGACATTGTGGTTCGGTCTGCGGAGGATGTCCTGGGGAGTGCGCGCCCTAGACGGGAGGGTGGCTACGAGTGGTGGACGCCTGAACTTGACGGATTGAGGTAGAAAGTATGTAATGCGAGAAGGGCATGGCAAAAGACTAGAAGAAAGGGAGGCAGGTCTGAGGAATTAGTCATGGAACGTTTCCATAGTGTGAGAGCGCGATATAGACAGTTGATGGGGATACGGAGCTGGCCCATTTTAGAAAAACGTCAGAGATGGTAAATGCAGCAAAAGAACATGGGGATGAGTATATCAAATTTACGTGGTAGAGCTGTAGCCATATTAGTAGTATAGTTATAGCAGGAATGGTTCGGCTCGATCGGGGAAGGATCACGCTCTCACAGAATACCAACATAAAATAGCAGCTTAACGCTGCTGTGTTTCGTATAGAGAACCGGAGACCCTTTTTATTGGAAACGAGACATTCCATCTTAGTCCTCACGGGTGACGAGGCATCTGCATTTTGATTTGTCTGTATATGTCTATGGGCCGCAGCAACCACTTATCATCAGGTGGACTGTGTGCTCGTTTGTCACCCTTATCTTAAATAAAATTCTAGCGGGAGGTTTCGTCCTCCCAGTAATGTTATTAACGCCATCGAGTACGTGGAGCGATATTCAGGGGGGGGGGTGAGGTAGGCTATGCGGACCTGCTCGAGGCTCTGTGCCCGGACGATGATTCGTCCAAGGACACTGAGTTTCATGGGCGGGTGCGTCTTATGGCCACCTTCACTTCACCTGGATAGGCTGCCGTTCCCCCAACCATTGGGTGTCTGGAGGGTATAGTCAGGGCGTTGCCCAACACTGCTCCGGGACTGGACGGGATTAGTGCAAAAGTGCTTAAGAATGTGTGGAGAGCCGCACCCAGGGAATTTCACTGGGTGTATTAGCAAGTGTGTGAAAGAGGGAGTTTTCCCGGATGTATGGAAGAATGGACG